TATATATATATATATATATATAAAATAAAAATTGTAGAAACATTTCGTCTTTCATCTGAAAGACTTCTTGAGCCAAGACAAGAAGTCTTTCGCATGAAAGACGAAACGTTTCTAAAAAAAATTTGTTTTGTTTTTTTGAATGTCCAGAGGACCAGATTTAACTTTTTTGGATTTTTCTACCTGGATTATTGAGCATGCATCAGGATACTCAAGTCTTAACTCAACAGAGGTCCAACCACTTGGGAGATAGTCTCACAATTAGCGTGACAAGGATCACCTGAGGACAGGGATGAGGCAGTAGGTTTGTCCACTGGTCTATCAGTCCTATTGCACCACAAAGACAAAAAGATCCAACAGATTATTGGCAGGTACAAGTCAGGGGATGGATACAAATGATTTCCAAGGTGCTAAACACCCCCGGAAGTTCTGTTAAGTCCATCACCAAGAAATGGAAGGTGTATGGGGCATGTGTAGAGCAGGCTGTCCTCACAAACTGAGTGACCGTGTGAGAAGGAGAATAGTGAGAACAAGACACAGCAGGTGAAGACGGTTCTTCACCAGCTCTATGGGAAGAAATGAGAGCCTTCGTTGAGAAAAGAATGAATCTCGACTTGCGTTTGCTAAACGACACGTGGCAGTCAAGTGACACAAAATTGGAGCTTTTTGTCTGTAAGACAAGCTGCCATGTTTGGTGGAAACCAAACCAAATAGTCTTGGAAGGCTTTTAAAGATGGAGGGTAGACTTGCTGCAAAATATCTGCCCAGGTAAGACGCTTCTTACATCTCTAGCTGATCAAGGTGCGACACCAGTTTGCAATGTTGAGCCTCTTCACAGTATTTTCATCTTCTGTAATGCTGAATTTTGTTTTTTCATTATCTGTAAGCCATAATCATCAAAATGACAAGAAATAAAGGTTTGAAATATTTCACTCTATGTGTAATGAATCTATATAATAATTTTCACTTTCTGAAATGATTGACAAAAATATTGAACTTTTTCACAGATTCTAATTTTTTGTTAGATGCACCTCTATGACTTGGGATAAGATTTGTTGTACACCACGACAAGTGCCCAAAGCGTACAGTGAAATGGTTTAAAGACTAGATGAAGGTTCTGGAGTGGCCGAGTCAAAGCCCAGACCTGAACACAACGGAGAATTTGTGGCTTGAAAAGTACGTTTATGCCAGATCCACATGTGATCTGACAACTTGAACAGTTCTGTAAGGAATGGGCACAATTTATTTTACATTTATTTTATTTAATTGACAACACTCTGCAGAATTTAACTTTGACGTCTTTATTTTTTGTCGAAAAAGCAGATTCATATTGACCATGATTGATTTGTGGCAGCAATAAAAACATAATAAATCCAAGGGGGTGCAGTTAAGGACACGCATATTAAGATACCATACCAATTAATTCACATAACAATAAAATTTTTAGTTTTAATTAAAGGAATGCTAATCACTCGCATCCCTTTGAGTCAGTTTGATATAGGCAGAGAAAGGATGGAGTTTTGGTTACGTCTCATGCAACAATGATTTTGTGTGATTTGGGAGCACTTGGAGTAGGAATTATGGATGACTCTCCGCTACTACCACACAAATGTTTAGCCCAATATCTGCAAATTTTACTCATCTACAGCCACTTTTGCGAAACCACAAGTTAATCAGTTGTAGGTCCAGTGACTACTTTTGCTAAGTTTCAATCAAATCTTTCCATTGGGTCATGAGATATTTTGCTAACAGACAAGATCAACAGTTAATGCCAAAGTTTTAAGCAATATGTAATGCTCAAAGTATGTGTTGATGATGATCCTCAGCTACTACCAAGCCACAATTTTAGCTCAAAATTGATCAAATTTGCTAAGATGCAGATATTTGTGCGTCGGTTGGCTGTGGCAGCCATCTTGGCTCTGGTTTGGTTCCAAAGGTTGCAGCTGCGCATTTAATCGTTCAGTTAAAAATGTATCCAGTGGTTTGAGACATTTTGGCAACAGGGACACACAGAGATACAGACATCATCATCCACCGTGGACTTTAGGCAATAACGTTTGTGCTGCTGTTGCTACGCCGTATTGTTTTACATTATTAGTGTTTTGTGCATTTCTTAGATCTTTTAGCGCAACGTTTGTTTTAGGGATGCACAATATTGGATTTTTGGCCAATATCCGATATATTAAAACTTATTTGGCCGATAACAGATACCAATATTTTTTCCAGTTATGTGCCGGGGGCACATTGGCTTTATTATTATGTCCTTGGGACATGTCTTGGGTTGTGGGTCGGCTGATTAGCCTTTAATTGTTTTGGGCTGTGGCCTTATCCGCCCCACCTATTTAAGAGGCTGGTTCCCCTTTCCTCTCTCTTTTTTTTTTTTGTTCCTCTCTGGCTCCCACACTTTTGAGCTGCCTCTCACAGATGCACTGTTTTTAAATTCCTCTGGTTTGGACTTTTTTTTTGGCCTTGTTTTATTCTGAAGCCTTTTTGTTTCTTGTTTTATTTGTCTTCATCCTGGAGCTGTGGCCTGCAGCCGGTGGCATCAGCCACCACAGGTAATTTTTGTTAACATTTTGTATTATTGTTTTTGTAGTAAATTTGGCCTGGTGGGACCGGTAGTCCTGTTTCCGCACCTTCTTTTGTAATGGATGTTGTTTTTAGGATTTTTGTGGATTTAGTTTGGTATCAGCAGCAGCTTCGACAGCCCTTTAAAGGGTTGGCCCACTGCTGTTACCTTTTTGTTTGGTTTGGCCGGCTCACCAGGTCCTCCAAGTTTGTACTTTGGGTTCTGTGTCTTTTTTTTTTTGGTGGACACAGGAATTGGGGGTTCCTAATTTTGTTTTGTACAGGAAGCAGCAGCTTTAATAAACGGAATGTTTTGAACCCTCATATTTGTGTTTCATGTCCTCCTTTTATGCGTTCTGTTCATGGTGGACGTAACGCCCCATAGACCTACGTACAGAGACTACATAGCTTTCTCTGCTGTAAAATTAAAATGTTTCTGCACGGTCTTTGTCAATTTGACCTGCTACCAAA